GGGTGTGAGCCAATCAGATTCCATCTCCAGAATCAGAAGTCATTTTGATTGGACATCTTCAGTGAGGATTATCACGCTGTCCAAAGATATAGAATATATATAATGTTAATTATATATGTAATATTTATCATAAATAATATAGATCGATCTAGAAAACAAAGCCATGAAGCTGATCTGGAGATAAATTGAGACGAAGCTCAGTGACCTCCTCCTCTTGTAACAGTCCTGATGTTAATACTGTGTGTGTGTGTGTGTGTGTGTGTGTGTGTTAGGGGGCCCAGTGTGAAGCGGTCCTCAGGTATGGAGCGCTCTCAGAGCAGCACCTGGGATTCCTCCGAGGAGAACAGGACCAAACTGCAGAAAGCTGCGTCCACCTCCAGACTGCTGAACAAGGTGGTGAAGACCGCCGAGAGGGTACACACACACACACACACACACACACACACACACACACACACACACACACACACACACACACACACACACACACACACACACACACAGACACACACACAACAATAATATGTATGGTGTCTCAGGGTTAGTGCGATGTTTTCCTTTTCTCGTTTCAGACACAGAGACCCTGTGGTTAGTCAAGGTAAATATGCATCCTTATCTACATCAGTAATTATCTGCATCTTCGTCATCATCATCATCAGTACCAGCCAATAGGAAGCCAGTTTTTTCAGCCAATCCTCTTCATCCTCACTCTTACTGGACCCACACATCTGTTCAGACTCTCAGGATGTTGTTGTTGAATGTGTTCATTTTTTTTTACGTTGTTGTCAAGTGACGTTATCTTTGTCTCAAACCAGCCAAAATATCGACTCGAGAGAAAAACAGCCAAGCTGGTAAGTCCCGATAAGTGGTCAGAGCGAGCTAAGAGCTAACAGGCTAACCTGCTAACATGCTAACAGGCTAACATGCTTACACGCTAACATGATAACAGCAGCTAAATGAGACTTCCTGTTTCTCTCTCTCCCTCTCTCTCTCCTTTACGTCTCTCTCTCCTTTACGTCGTCAGCCTCTCTCACCCACCTGATCAGGTGATATCACACCTGTCTGTGGCCCCGCCCCCTGCTGTTGTGTACCTCTATATAAGGTCAAAAATGTAGAACCTTTAAACCTAACCCTAACCAATCAGGGCACCAAAGAGAAGTCCAGCCCACCACCTAAATGTAAAGCAAGTTATTGGACGCTGCTGCCTTTCTCACATTGATTGACAGGTGACTTAACACGAGTGAGTGAGTGAGTGAAGGTAAACGATGACACGGCAGTTTCTGTTTGATCTGCTTCACCTGCACACCATGCTATGCCTAAATCTCATCTGTCCACTACCTGTCCCGCATGTCCCTCACCTGTCCCTCAATTGTCACACCTATCCCTCACCTGTCACTTACCTGTCCCTCACCTATCCCTCACCTGTCCCTCACCTGTCACTCACCTGTCCCATACCTGTCCCTCACCTGTCACTCACCTGTCCCTCACCTATCCCTCACCTATCCCTCACCTGTCACTTACATGTCCCTCACCTGTCCCTCACCAGTCTCACCTATCCCTCACCTGTCACTCACCTGTCCTTCACCTGTCCCTTACCTGTCTCACCTGTCCCTCACCTGTCCCTCACCTGTCCCTCACCTGTCCCTCACCTGTCCCTCACCTGTCCCTCACCTGTCCCTCACCTGTCCCTCACCTGTCACTCACCGGTCTCACCTGTCACTCACCTGTCCCTCACCTGTCACTTACCTGTCACTCACCTGTCACTCATCGGTCTCACCTGTCCCTCACCTGTCCCTCATCTGTCACTCACCTGTCCCTCACCTGTCACTCACCTGTCCCTCTCCTGTCTGACCTGTCACTTACCTGTCTCACCTGTCCCTCACCTGTCCCTCACCTGTCTGACCTGTCTCTTACCTGTCCCTCACCTGTCCCTCACCTGTCCCTCACCTGTCTGACCTGTCACTTACCTGTCCCTCACCTGTCCCTCACCTGTCCCCTCACCTGTCCCTCACCTGTCCCTCACCTGTCTGACCTGTCACTTACCTGTCCCTCACCTGTCACTCACCTGTCCCTCACCTGTCCCTCACCTGTCACTCACCTGTCTGACCTGTCACTTACCTGTCCCTCTATATTATTTATACTGCTGTTTACAAAACGACTGCATTGTTTGCAGATATTTGCTTGAATCATACTATGGCGCTGACACTAGATGTATATACTGTGTGTATGTATATATATATATATAAATGATTTCCGGAGCCTTACCCCTCTCATGAGTCTGGTTTAGTTTAACCTAGCTGTTTGCTAATCAGCAGCATTGTTCATCTGCTTTCATGATCATTTATTTCCACATTGACGGTGTTTGCGTGTCCGTGTGTTTCAGAGGGGAATCACATTAAGATGTTCATGAGAGGACGACCAATCACCATGTTCATTCCATCAGACGTGGAGAGCTACGAGGACGTTCGGACGGAGCTTCCTTCAGAAAGACTCAAGCTGGAATGGGTGTATCCTCTTTATTTAAACATCACATAAAGTAATTACAACCGAGACTGTAGATCCTCAGTGTAGCATCAGTACATCATCAGTAGATCCTCAGTCCATCGTTAGTAGATCCTCAGTAGAGCCCAATAGCTCCTTAGTATATTCAGAAGGTATCACTTAGATCTCCAGGTGCTTCCTTGACTTCCTGCAGGTACGGTTACCGCGGCAGAGACTGCAGAGCAAATGTGTTTCTCCTTCCAACCGGAGAAATGGTTTACTTTGTGGCATCAGTCGTCGTTCTGTTTAACTACGAAGAACGGACTCAGAGACATTACCTCGGACACACCGACTGCGTCAAATGGTGAGAACTAACACAAATATGAATGTGCTTCTACCCTCCTATGGGCCTGTCTGTGTGTGACATAATGTTTCTGTGTCCCCGTCAGTCTGGCCATCCATCCCGATAAGATCCGGATAGCTACGGGACAGATTGCAGGAGTAGACAAAGACGGACGGGTGAGGGGAAAAAAACAGACTCAAACTAATCCTACAGCGTTTCCTTTTTTCAATAATGAATACAACTTGTATGCGATGCGTTCAGGCGCTGCAGCCTCACGTCCGGATCTGGGACTCCGTCAGTCTTTCTACGCTGCAGGTCATCGGGTTGGGAACGTTCGAGCGGGGCGTCGGATCTCTGGCTTTCTCTAAAGCTGTGAGTATCACCAAGCTGCATCATGCGAACTGTAGTCCACATATGTCTGCCTGTCTGTCTGTAACCTGTCTGTGAGTAACCTGTCTGTCTGTAACCTGTCTGTGTGTAACCTGTCTGTCTGTAACCTGTCTGTGTGTAACCTGTCTGTGTGTAACCTGTCTGTCTGTAACCTGTCTGTGAGTAACCTGTCTGTCTGTAACCTGTCTGTCTGTAACCTGTCTGTGTGTAACCTGTCTGTGTGTAACCTGTCTGTGTGTAACCTGTCTGTCTGTAACCTGTCTGTGTGTAACCTGTCTGTGTGTAACCTGTCTGTCTGTAACCTGTCTGTGAGTACCCTGTCGGTCTGTAACCTGTCTGTGTGTCACCTGTCTGTGTGTAACCTGTCTGTCTGTAACCTGTCTGTCTGGAACCTGTCTGTGTGTAACCTGTCTGTGTGTAACCTGTCTGTCTGTAACCTGTCTGTGAGTAACCTGTCTGTCTGTAACCTGTCTGTGTGTAACCTGTCTGTGAGTAACCTGTCTGTCTGTAACCTGTCTGTGTGTAACCTGTCTGTGTGTAACCTGTCTGTGTGTAACCTGTCTGTGAGTACCCTGTCGGTCTGTAACCTGTCTGTCTGGAACCTGTCTGTGTGTAACCTGTCTGTGTGTAACCTGTCTGTCTGTAACCTGTCTGTGAGTAACCTGTCTGTCTGTAACCTGTCTGTGTGTAACCTGTCTGTGTGTCACCTGTCTGTGTGTCACCTGTCTGTGTGTAACCTGTCTGTCTGTAACCTGTCTGTGTGTAACCTGTCTGTGTGTAACCTGTCTGTCTGTAACCTGTCTGTGAGTACCCTGTCTGTCTGTAACCTGTCTGTCTGGAACCTGTCTGTCTGTAACCTGTCTGTGTGTAACCTGTCTGACTGTAACCTGTCTGTCTGTAACCTGTCTGTGTGTAACCTGTCTGACTGTAACCTGTCTGTCTGTAACCTGTCTGTGTGTCACCTGTCTGACTGTAACCTGTCTGTCTGTCACCTGTCTGTCTGTCACCTGTCTGTCTGTCTGTAACCTGTCTGTCTGTAACCTGTCTGTCTGTAACCTGTCTGTCTGTAACCTGTCTGTGAGTAACCTGTCTGTCTGTAACCTGTCTGTCTGGAACCTGTCTGTCTGTAACCTGTCTGTCTGTCACCTGTCTGTCTGTAACCTGTCTGTCTGTAACCTGTCTGTCTGTAACCTGTCTGTCTGTAACCTGTCTGAGTAACCTGTCTGTCTGTAACCTGTCTGTCTGGAACCTGTCTGTCTGTAACCTGTCTGTGAGTAACCTGTCTGTCTGGAACCTGTCTGTCTGTGACCTGTCTGTCTGTGACCTGTCTGTCTGTAACCTGTCTGTGTGTCACCTGTCTGTCTGTAACCTGTCTGTGTGTCACCTGTCTGTGTGTAACCTGTCTGTCTGTAACCTGTCTGTCTGTAACCTGTCTGTCTGTCACCTGTCTGTCTGTCTGTAACCTGTCTGACTGTAACCTGTCTGTCTGTCACCTGTCTGTCTGTAACCTGTCTGTGTGTAACCTGTCTGTCTGTAACCTGTCTGTCTGTAACCTGTCTGTCTGTAACCTGTCTGTGAGTAACCTGTCTGTCTGGAACCTGTCTGTCTGTAACCTGTCTGTGAGTAACCTGTCTGTCTGGAACCTGTCTGTCTGTAACCTGTCTGTCTGTAACCTGTCTGTCTGTAACCTGTCTGTCTGTCACCTGTCTGTCTGTCTGTAACCTGTCTGTGTGTAACCTGTCTGACTGTAACCTGTCTGTCTGTCACCTGTCTGTCTGTCACCTGTCTGTCTGTCTGTCACCTGTCTGTCTGTCTGTAACCTGTCTGTCTGTAACCTGTCTGTCTGTAACCTGTCTGTCTGTAACCTGTCTGTGAGTAACCTGTCTGTCTGTAACCTGTCTGTGAGTAACCTGTCTGTCTGGAACCTGTCTGTCTGTGACCTGTCTGTCTGTAACCTGTCTGTGTGTAACCTGTCTGTGTGTAACCTGTCTGTGTGTAACCTGTCTGTCTGTAACCTGTCTGTGTGTAACCTGTCTGTCTGTGTGTCACCTGTCTGTCTGCAACCTGTCTGTCTGTAACCTGTCTGTGTGTAACCTGTCTGTGTGTAACCTGTCTGTCTGTAACCTGTCTGTGTCCACAGGACTCGGGGCAGCACCTCAGTGTTGTTGACGACTGTAACGACCACATGCTGACGGTGTGGGAGTGGCAGAAGAAGTCAAAGATCGCTGAGATCAAGGTGAGAATGTATCACTTCATCCAATACCATCGTTACCATCGATACTATTAATACCAACAACACCATTAATACACTCAATACCATCAATACCATCCATACTATCAATACCAACAATACCATCCATACTATCAATACCAACAACACCATTAATACTATTAATACCAACAACACCATTAATACTATTAATACACTCAATACCATCAATACCATTAATACTCACAGTACCATCAATACTATCAATACCATTAATACTCACAGTACCATCAATACTATCAATACTATCAATATCATTAATACTCACAGTACCATCAATACTATCAATACCATCAATACTATCAATATCATTAATACTCACAGTACCATCAATACTATCAATATCATTAATACTCACAGTACCATCAATACTATCAATACCATTAATACTCACAGTACCATCAATACTATCAATACTATCAATATCATTAATACTCACAGTACCATCAATACTATCAATACCATCATTACTATCAATACCATTAATACTCACAGTACCATCAATACCATTAATACTCACAGTACCATCAATACTATCAATACCATTAATACTCACAGTACCATCAATACCATTAATACTCACAGTACCATCAATACTATCAATACCATTAATACTACCAATACCATTAATACTCATAGTACCATCAATACTATCAATACCATCAATACTATCAATACCATTAATACTCAAAGTACCATCAATACTATCAATACCATTAATACTCACAGTACCATCAATACTATCAATACTATCAATATCATTAATACTCACAGTACCATCAATACTATCAATACCATTAATACTCACAGTACCATCAATACTATCAATACCATTAATACTCACAGTACCATCAATACTATCAATATCATTAATACTCACAGTGCCATCAATACTATCAATACCATTAATACTCACAGTACCATTAATACTATCAATATCATTAATACTCACAGTACCATCAATACTATTAATACTCACAGTACCATCAATACTATCAATACCATTAATACTCACAGTACCATCAATACTATTAATATTCACAGTACCATCAATACTATTAATACTCACAGTACCATCAATACTATCAATACCATCAATACTATCAATACCATTAATACTCACAGTACCATCAATACTATCAATATCATTAATACTCACAGTACCATCAATACTATCAATACCATTAATACTCACAGTACCATTACTACTATCAATATCATTAATACTCACAGTACCATCAATACTATTAATACTCACAGTACCATCAATACTATCAATACCATTAATACTCACAGTACCATCAATACTATTAATATTCACAGTACCATCAATACTATTAATACTCACAGTACCATCAATACTATCAATACCATCAATACCATTAATACTCACAGTACCATCAATACTATCAATACCATCAATACTATCAATACCATTAATACTCAAAGTACCATCAATACTATCAATACCATTAATACTCACAGTACCATCAATAGCATCAATATAATTAATATCATCCCTACAGTGAATACCATCATTTCCATCATTTCCATCAATACCAACACTATTTATACCAACAATGCCATCAATACCAAGCATACCCTCAGTTTGTAGGAGGAAACACAAACAGTGTAAATCAATGGTTTGTGTCCTGAAACCAGTCCGTGAAGCATACCCTCAGTTTGTAGGAGGAAACACAAACAGTGTAAATCAATGGTTTGTGTCCTGAACCAGTCTGTGAAGCATACCCTCAGTCTGTAGGAGGAAACACAAACAGTGTAAATCAATGGTTTGTGTCCTGAACCAGTCTGTGAAGCATACCCTCAGTTTGTAGGAGGAAACACAAACAGTGTAAATCAATGGTTTGTGTCCTGAACCAGTCTGTGAAGCATACCTTCAGTCTGTAGGAGGAAACACAAACAGTGTAAATCAATGGTTTGTGTCCTGAACCAGTCTGTGAAGCATACCCTCAGTCTGTAGGAGGAAACACAAACAGTGTAAATCAATGGTTTGTGTCCTGAACCAGTCTGTGAAGCATACCCTCAGTCTGTAGGAGGAAACACAAACAGTGTAAATCAATGGTTTGTGTCCTGAACCAGTCTGTGAAGCATACCCTCAGTCTGTAGGAGGAAACACAAACAGTGTAAATCAATGGTTTGTGTCCTGAACCAGTCTGTGAAGCAGCTGGGTTCATATTTAATAGAAAATATAAAGATCAATATTCCAGCAGCTGGATAACGCTCTGCTTCTGTTCCAGAGCACTAACGAGGTGGTTCTGGAGGTGCAGTTCCACCCCACCGACCCCCACACCATCGTCACCTGCGGGAAGTCCCACATCTTCTTCTGGACCTGGAGCGGGACCTCTCTGGCCCGGAAACAGGGCATCTTCGGGGTGAGGACGGGGTCCAAAGTCTATTCATTGCTTTCATCCAGGCTGGGGTATATACGTGTTGTATACCGGTTATAAATGGGTTGTATACGGTCTGGGTTCTGGGTCTTTTTCTCACCTCGGGGGCCCTTCCTAGCCGAGTTATTAACGGGTATATACGTGTTATATACGGTTTATTTACAGGTTATATATACGTCTAGGGAGGCGTGTGGCGCAGTGGATTGTGCATTGGTATTGGGATCAGGGGGTCACAGGTTCAAACCCCACTGCAGTCAACATGTGTCCCTGAGACACTTCAGCCCAAAGTGCTCCTGTGGGGATTGCCCACAGTATTGAGTATGAAAGTCGCTTTGGATAAAAGCGTCTAATAAGTGACATGTCGTGTGTTATACGGTTTATATACAGGTCATATACGTGTCATATACGGTTTATTCACGCGCTATATACTACAGTCATAATGAATATGTGGGTCTTTTCATCCTGTAATACTCACATGCTGTTATTCTGTTGGCTCTCTCAGAAGTACGAGAAGCCGAAGTTCATCCAGTGTCTGGTGTTCCTGAGCTGTGGAGACATCCTGACTGGAGACTCAGGGGGGGTCTTACTGGTCTGGACCCGCAGCGCTTCGGAGACCCCCCCCCCAGCAAGGGCCCCCGAGGTGAGACCCAGAACCAGAAGACACAGCTGACAGCCGCGGTGAAACTCGAGTGTTTAGAGTGATGCGATGAGAGCGAAGCGAATACTTGCATCGCGTCCGGTGTGAACGCACCATTACAGTATTAATAATTGACTGTTACTGTTTTATTATCAGTGTTAAACTATTACTGTTTTATTATCAGTGTTAAATTATTACTGTTTTATTATCAGTGTTAAATTATTACTGTTTTATTATCAGTGTTAAACTATTACGGTTTTATTATCAGTGTTAAATTATTACTGTTTTATTATCAGTGTTAAATTATTACTGTTTTATTATCAGTGTTAAACTATTACTGTTTTATTATCAGTGTTAAACTATTACTGTTTTATTATCAGTGTTAAACTATTACTGTTTTATTATCAATGTTAAATTATTACTGTTTTATTATCAGTGTTAAACTATTACTGTTTTATTATCAGTGTTAAACTATTACTGTTTTATTATCAGTGTTATAATAAAAGAATGTGTGTGTACAGCGTTTCAGATCAGCCGGCAGGTCAAGGCTCATGAAGGCAGTGTGTTCTGTGTGTGCGAGACGAGGAGCGGCAGCCTGCTGACCGGGGGGGGGAAGGACCGGAAGATCATCCTGTGGGACCAGGAAGTGAGAGCAGAGCGGGACATGGAGGTACACACACACACACACACACACACACACACACACACACACACACACACACACACACACACAACACACACACACACACACACACACACACACACACACACACACACACACACTAGGGCTGCACGATATATCGTGTCGTGACAATAATCGCGTTATGCGCATGCGCGATATTCACATTTTCCTTTTTTAGGACGTGCGATATTAGGTAGGCAAATTAACTCAAACACGTCATGTTACAAGACCCACACACACACTGATCTGGGGTCACATGATGTGTGTGTGCAGGTCCCGGATCAGTACGGAACCATCCGAGCGGTTTCTGAGGGGAAGGGGGACGAGATCCTGGTGGGAACGTCTCGTAACTTCATCCTCAGAGGAACCTTTAACGACGGCTTCCTGGTGGAGGTCCAGGTGATTATTGTCTTTATATCATTGTTTTTATTTCAATCATTATTATTACTATTATTTGTGTTAATCTTGTTATAATTGGTTCAGGGTCTCGGTGATACCGTGATGTGTTCAGGGTCTCGGTGATACCGTGACGTGTTCAGGGTCTCGGTGATACCGTGACGTGTTCAGGGTCTCGGTGATACCGTGACGTGTTCAGGGTCTCGGTGATACCGTGACGTGTTCAGGGTGTCGGTGATACCGTGACGTGTTCAGGGTCTCGGTGATACCGTGACGTGTTCAGGGTCTCGGTGATACCGTGACTTGTTCAGGGTCTCGGTGATACCGTGACGTGTTCAGGGTCTCGGTAATACCGTGACGTGTTCAGGGTCTCAGTGATACCGTGATGTGTTCAGGGTCTCGGTAATACCGTGATGTGTTCAGGCTCTCAGTAGTGTCCCAGTAGTACTGTGATGTGTTCTGGGTCTCAGTAATACCGTGATGTGTTCAGGGTCTCGGTAATACCGTGACGTGTTCAGGGTCTCAGTAATACCGTGATGTGTTCAGGCTCTCAATAGTGTCTCAGTAGTACTGTGATGCAGTGGCGAGCCGTGACTTTTATACCTAGGCCCTCTGACCCCCCTTCCCTCGAAAAAAAAGAAGAGATATTACATCACAGCCATAGACTGTATATATAAACACACTCACACAGTCACAGGTCACAGCGTATACTTCAGCGGAATATCAAAACAGCGGCCCGGGGTGCAAAACGCATCAATGACAGCGACCCACTACCACACAGAACAATACCATTGATATAAACACCTATTATGACAGGGCACCCAGGGCCAAGTAACAATTACAAATGAATGAAGTCGGCACGGCGGCCCGCATTGAAAATGACTTAGGCCTACCTTTGATGATAAAATCACTGAAACACAAAGTCCATCCTCCTGTCCTTTTGGATGAAGCACTTGATGGCGGGTCATTCAGCTGATCCTTTGCCACTCCAGTTTATCATTGTAACTCAATCTTGAAAATGACTCTGTTAATAATTTCGCAACGATGTCCTCACTATCACTGAAGTGAGCAATCATGAACAAACTTATGCTAATCATAAATCTATCGATTAGATTTATGATTCGAAAATAATAAAAGTAGGGTAGACATGTGGAAATTATCCGGCTGAACAAAACGTGCATTTATCTAACAGGTTCGTTTTCCACAGACCTTATTTCGAGCTATTTTCCAAAACCCTCTGGAGAAATCCCGTTGCTTTCTGTCGAGGGAATCCCAGCGCAGCTTACTTCCGTGTTTTAGGACGCGTCACTGCACCACTTGCATAGACCTCACAGCGGGCGGAACTTGTCATAAAGTCCGCGAAAATAAAGCCCGCCCATTTAGAGGGAAGATATGATTGGTCAATTGTACTGTCATTTGACATTACTCTCTCGTTGAGTTACTATAGCTGGCCCTCTGTGAATGTAGAGAGGGACCAACAAGCTCTCCCGTCTTCACATAACTCCCAGAGACGGCATTTAACCCTTCACATTCCAACAGAAACTGAACAGGCAGATTCGAAGGATTTATTTATTTGGAAATATTATTTTAAATACAATTAAATCAAGTTATTTTGGTAAAACTAATGAAAAATGTAAAAAAATGTTTTAATGTTTTCCAATATAATTTTTTAGAATATCTTAGGCCCTCACAGAGGGCCCTGACGGCTCGCCACTGCTGTGATGTGTTCTGGGTCTCAGTAATACTGTGATGTGTTCAGGGTCTCAGTAGTACCGTAGTGTGTTCAGGATCTCAGTAATACTGTGGTGTGTTCAGGGACACACTGACGAGCTGTGGGGTCTGGCCTCCCACCCTTCCAGAGGGATGTTTCTGACCTGCGCTCAGGACCGGCTGGTCTGCCTCTGGAGCGCCGAGGAGCATCGCCTGCAGTGGAGCCGCTCGCTGGAGGTGAGCTCTGATTGGAAGATGATTGAATGATTGACAGCTGATTGAATGATTGACAGCTGATTGGAGGATGATTGACATCTTTATGTCCTCTCAGGAACACGGACACTGTGCAGACTTCCATCCCAGCGGAGCCGTGGTTGCTATAGGGACACATTCAGGAAAGTGAGTATCTCTGTCTGTCTCTCACCTGTCTCCCACCTGTCTGTCTCTCACCTGTCTGTCTCTCACCTGTCTGTCTCTCACCTGTCTGTCTCTCACCTGTTTGTCTCTCACCTGTGTGTCTCTCACCTGTCTGTCTCTCACCTGTTTGTCTCTCACCTGTCTGTCTCTCACCTGTGTGTCTCTCACCTGTCTGTCTCTCACCTGTGTGTCTCTCACCTGTCTCTCGCCTGTCTGTCTGTCTCTCTCACCTGTCTGTCTCTCACCTGTCTGTCTCTCACCTGTCTCTCGCCTGTCTGTCTGTCTCTCTCACCTGTCTGTCTCTCACCTGTCTGTCTCTCACCTGTCTCTCAGGTGGTACGTCCTGGACGCAGACACCACAGACCTGGTGTCTATCCACACGGATGGTAACGAGCAGCTGTCAGTGATGCGCTTCTCTGTCGGTGGGTGACATCATCCTGTTTTCATGATCATGCTTTGCGAGGAGTGAACTACATTACCCACAATGCTCCTCTCTGTTTGTGTCTGCAGATGGCGCTCTGTTGGCGGTTGGATCTCACGATAACCTTATTTACCTCTACACCGTCTCCGAGAGAGGACGCAAGTACAGCCGATACGGGAAGTGCTCGGTCAGTCCCTTTACTTCCTTTACGATTCACCCAGTCTGACAAGGACCCTAACGAGTCACCCAGTCTGACAAGGACCCTAACAAGTCACCCAGTCTGACAAGGACCCTAACGAGTCACCCAGTCTGACAAGCACCCTAACGAGTCACCCAGTCTGACAAGCACCCTAACGAGTCACCCAGTCTGACAAGGACCCTAACGAGTCACCCAGTCTGACAAGGACCCTAACGAGTCACCTAGTCTGACAAGGACCCTAACGAGTCACCCAGTCTGACAAGGACCCTAACGAGTCACCCAGTGTGACAAGCACCCTAACGAGTCACCCAGTCTGACAAGGACCCTAACGAGTCACCCAGTCTGACAAGGACCCTAACGAGTCACCCAGTGTGACAAGCACCCTAACGAGTCACCCAGTCTGACAAGGACCCTAACGAGTCACCCAGTGTGACAAGCACCCTAACGAGTCACCCAGTGTGACAAGGACCCTAACGAGTCACCCAGTGTGACAAGGACCCTAACGAGTCACCCAGTGTGACAAGGACCCTAACGAGTCACCCAGTCTGACAAGCACCCTAACGAGTCACCCAGTCTGACAAGGACCCTAACGAGTCACCCAGTCTGACAAGCACCCTAACAAGTCACCCAGTCTGACAAGCACCCGAACCCCCAAAACACACCAGGAGCATCTGCGCCGCGTTACGTTGCGGCTGCGCCAAGCTGCGACCTCCTCCTGCGACAACACACACCAGACGCGTTTCAAAACGTTGCGGAAGCGGAGCGTCGTGTGTGCAGCCTCGCAGTTGTTGTTGATTTTGGAATATTTCCTGGACATTTGTACTTCTACAAGTAAGTAGGCTATACGTAGTTAAATGGTTTATGTTTGTGTCGGTTTAAATCGTGTTTATTGTTGTTATTTCCTATTTTGTTGTGTTGTAGACTACAGACACAGTTAATAATAATTGTAATATTCCAGTTATAAATGACATGAATCAAAGATGTGTTGCTGTATTTTAGTGGTAAAAAAATATGCATTCATCATCATAATTATTCTATATATATATCATTTACAGGCCTGTAAACCGGAGGAGAACGCTGGCATGTATTCTCCTACTTGAAAGACTACGGGGGGATGGGGGGAATGAATAAAAACAAATTATAATACAAAAATATAATATCATTATAAAGAGTTAAACACAACTGTATTGATCCCTGGGCGAAATTCACAAGATAAAGTATAGTTAAAAAACCAATATTTATAAAAATATAAATACAAAATAATAATAATATAATAATCTTGATATAGGAAATAAGATCTTACTTTATTGTGAAATGCAAGTTTACTGAACAGTTTTTTAACGACTTTCACAAGATGTTAAACTACTGAATGGCTCTGTACTGTACCTACAAGTATTAATTAACTTTAAAACATTAATATGTAGTTGTTACCTTCCACTCCACAAACTGCAGCGACTAAAAACCAGGCCTTGTCCTTTCTGATGTTGTCCTTGTAAAAAGCATCGGTTACATCATATCAAATTGTGTGTTTCTCCACTTCCATTATGAACACCTCGTCGTCCATGGTGCGTTTCGTAGTGGAGGTGTTGTGATGAAGGAGGGGGGTCTGCTAAATTAGTATATGTGGGGGATGGGCCTGGCCCGGATGCTCACCTTTCCACTTCCTGCGAGGGGGGGGGCTGCCTGCCCGACTTTACCTTACAGCTGCGCCGCGGCAAAAATAGGATTCATCCTAATTTTAGAGAAGCGCTGCGCCGAGCCGCTTCTGGGACGCGTCTGAGCCGTAACGCGGCGCGTGTGGTGTAATAGCACCCATTGACTAGAGTGGCCGCGATCCTTACGACCGCCGCGGTGCGGCCGTAACACGACGCAGACGCTCCTGGTGTGTTTTGGGGGTAACGAGTCACCCAGTCTGACAAGCACCCTAACGAGTCACCCAGTCTGACAAGCACCCTAATGAGTCATGATGATGATGATGATGATGATGATGATGAAGATGAAGGTGTGTTCATGGGTCACCTGGATGTGTTTACAGGGACATTCGAGCTACATCACACACCTGGACTGGTCACCTGACAACAACTTCATCATGTCCAACTCGGGAGACTATGAGATCCTGTACTGTGAGTACTGTGTTGTTGTTGTGTATCACTGCAGTGAGATCCTTTACTGTGAGTACTGTGTTGTTGTTGTGTATCACTGCAGTGAGATCCTGTACTGTGAGTACTGTGTTGTTGTTGTTGTGTATCACTGCAGTGAGATCCTGTACTGTGAGTACTGTGTTGTTGTTGTGTATCACTGCAGTGAGATCCTGTACTGTGAGTACTGTGTTGTTGTTGTGTATCACTGCAGTGAGATCCTGTACTGTGAGTACTGTGTTGTTGTTGTGTATCACTGCAGTGAGATCCTGTACTGTGAGTACTGTGTTGTTGTTGTGTATCACTGCAGTGAGATCCTGTACTGTGAGTACTGTGTTGTTGTTGTGTATCACTGCAGTGAGATCCTGTACTGTGAGTACTTTGTTGTTGTTGTGTATCACTGCAGTGAGATCCTGTACTGTGTTGTTGTTGTGTATCACTGCAGTGTTGTGTAGTAACAGTTGTGTGTTTTTAGGGGACGTTCCAAACGGCTGTAAGCTGATCAGAAATCGCTCCGAGTGCAAAGACATCGACTGGGCCACCTACACCTGCGTACTGGGGTACCACGTGTTCGGTCAGTACACCTGCACACCTGTGCACTCAGTAGACCTTTATACCTGTGCACTCAGTAGACCTGCACATTTAAAGTTAAAATAACACACTTGTTTGTTCCTGTTTCAAACGTGTGTGTGTGTCAGGTGTTTGGCCCGAGGGTTCAGACGGCACCGACATCAACGCTCTGATCAGATCTCACAACAGGAAGGTGATCGCTCTGGCAGACGACTTCTGTAAAGTTCACCTGTTCGCCTACCCATGCTCCACCCCCAAGGTGAGAAACACACACACACACACACACACACACACACACACACACACACACACACACACACACACACAGGGCTCCCGTTATACAGGTTTAATGAGTTTGAGGTGTGTGTTTCCCCGCAGGCTCCCAGCCATAAGTACAGCGCTCACAGCAGTCATGTGACCAACGTGAGCTTCCTGTATAACGACAGTCACCTGGTCTCCACGGGGGGGAAAGACACCAGCATCATGCAGTGGCGCCTGGTGGAAAGACCCGCCCTCTCCCTCCCTGACGGACAGCTATCTAACTCCGCCCCTGACTTCATCCCGCCCCCTCTATCAGTGACCACGCCCACACAGGAACCCATCTCTGCCCCAACAGCCAATGGGACCCAGGACCCCTACCCAGACAGCCCGCCCCCCTCAGCTCTGACCCCGCCCCCCTCTGACAGCAGTGTGAGTCTGAAGGACAGCCTGGATCCGAGCGACGACACGGCAACGCCCAGCGACGAGGGGCTGCCCCCCCTCACCTCTTAATAGTGTGTGTGACTGTTGGTACAGCTATCTTTGTGAGGACCAGCCAGACGTTGTGATTGGACATTCAGTGTATGTGTGTGACCTCGGGTAACTTTTTCTCCAATCAGAGCAGAGCAGTAAGACAGGAAGTGGACCTGAAGTCTTAAATGAGTTTCAGAAACTGGTTCTCTTTACATGTTGTTTTAGAAATACTGGGACATTGCTGTTTATGTGACGTAGAAGTAGCTGCAGGAAGTTTAAAACAGGAAACTGATTCTCTCCTTTGACTGGACTTTGTTGGGCTTTTATTTTGTTAAACTGCCACATTTTTATAGACATTTCACAATAAAAGCCCTCAAGGGAAGGGACAGAACTACGGGAGGCTTTTAATGTGAAACATGCAGGAAACATGAACCACACCCAGAAGCATGCTGGGAACATTTGAACACGTCCGGCCAGTGGACGCAGGGGGGCCTTCAGAGTAAAGCGCCACCTGAAGGAGCTCCAGAGAAGCTGTGATAGGTGATTTAATGTCAGTTTGTATATGCTGCAGAGATCTGTGTGTATATTTCTGTTACCACCAGGGGGCAGCAGCTCCTCAGCTACACTGTAAAAACCACATTCAACTCTCGCATCTCTCAGCCAATTAGGGGCCAGGACAGCTGCTCCTCTCTGATTGGCTGGTTTTCAGTGACTGATTGAGTGACTGCTGATCTGTGTTTCTTATGGACCATCTCTGTTTATTGTTCTGAATGCCATCACCCCACGGGGTTTTCATTAATGTTTTGCCTTTTTAATACTTTTTATCTTTATATCTCCATCTCATATCTCCATCTTTGATTTGTCCATTTACTTATATTTTATATCTTTAACCTTTATATCTCCATCTTCCATGTCATCATTTTTTCTAATCTGCCCTCTGGGGTTGCGGGGTTATGTGAGGGGGGGAGGGGCGGTGACGCGATTGGTGGGATCTGTCTGTTATTTCACAGTGTTCGGTAACCATGACAACGTTCATGTGACTGTTTTGAGCCAATCATGTCTTCTCAAATGCAGACTGTACTGAAGATTTCAACAAAAAAAATGCAAATAAATGTTAAAAACGGACTCCAGCTTCTCTCCCGTCTCTGTTAGCATATTAGCCTTTAGCAGCTTTCATGTGGTGTGGCAAGAATCAGGAAAAAGGGTTTGTGAAAGACTGACCCTGACCCTGGGAGGTGGACGATACGAGTAGCACCTGAATGCACCACTCTACAGAGCCACTAGTGTTGGCGTTCGGCAGAATAATCATATCTGTGATGTTAGGGAACTTCATAAGTTAGATTTTATATTGTATAAACCCAGAGTGCACTTTATTTTAACTAATAGGGTTAAAGAGTTGCCAAATATTATTTCACAGAAACATCAAGCCTCGATTCAAAGTCCAGAAACCAATTTACACACTGAGCTCATAAAACAAAACACAAACTGTTGCATCATGGGAAATGATCCTGGCTTTATTTAATGTCATGTGTTTGGATGATGTCCCTTTCCTGGGCTGTCATTGGCTCAGGCGTTGCAGCGGTCGGCGTGGCAACAGCTCCATCCAGGTTGATTACACGAGTCGAGCCGAGTGCAGCCTTTCTCTCCGTTATCTGCCACAGCAAACAGGAAACGCATCATCAGACAGAGACAACCCTCCAAAGGCATTGAAAGTGTAATATTGTTCAGAGGGAAGTTGTGAGTCGGGGGTTGCGGTCGGATAATCCAAAAATCAGCTCCTAAATTCTAACCCTATCTCCTATTCCTTGACCTCTGAGTGAAAGGTCACGGGGTTAAGGGATAGTGGATAGGAGAATTCAAAAGGACTTAGGAGAAGAGACTGCGGTACTTTAGAGAATCGACTGCACTTTCACTATCCCACGTGTTTCTGATGCGCCAGCGGACGTCCTGAATGAGCGTCTGCTGCTGTGGGGAAACTATGGAAACTACAGTTCTCTATACAGCGGACTACAACATGGATGTTCAATAAGAACGAGGGACTCCTGTGAACTCATCTAGAGACTCTGTGCTCTGATGCTGCTGCTTTATGCTTTATGAACGGGGACAACAGAGACACAGATTCTTCAGGACCAAAGCTGGAATTGAAATACAAAGGAAAGTGAAGCTTCTGCTCGTCACCCTCTCCCTCCGGTCCACATTAATACAAATGATCCCAATACGTATGATTGATGAAAAGATCTTAAATCAATACAGATGTATTTATTATAAACGTTAGTCCTTAACATCTATCACTGTGTATATCACCATTCAAACATCTTTTAAAAGTTGAACAAACCACACAGCTCAGTGAAGACTGTGAGATGTTGACTTTATTTGATCATTTCAGTAAAAACTAACGTTCATATTTCTCTCTTTGATTATAATACTGATGAACGTTCAGAACAAAGCACTTTGGCAACTTACCACATACGTTTTAAAAAGCTTAATAAGCACCGTAACTTTCATGATATCATTTCTCCGTCATAATCGGTTGTTTCCGTGAACGGCCGACTGTTGAGTGACGGCAAATGCTGCGGCTGCAATGCATTGTGGGGCAGCATTTTCTCCTCTCCTCTCGGTGAGGGAGGTCCAGTGGTTCCTAAGCTAAAGGAGATTATAAAGGAAGCTTGAAACCTCCTTTCCTATCATCTAGAGAACCAGCTCTTATCATGGCTGCCACTGAGGGACTTCCGGGTCATTTCACTCCGTTAGGAAGGGTCCTAAACTAAATGGACTATTGCACTGCTGCCGGGGCACCTTTAAAATAAGTGTGTCTACGACTTAATTCATCTTACAAAGCATGATGTTTGAAAGACTCAACTTTGACTTTTTATTGACAATGAGACAGAAACGACGATCAGAAACCTTTCTATTTTGTGTTATTGCCAAAATCTGAAGATCCTCTTAAATCCATATTTGGACATCACACATACTTATGGTTGTAGTTTGAAGTTTAAACAGAGTTGACATAAAGCAGTACTCACCCCGGGTGTAGCATGCCTGAGGAACCTTCCCTTTACAGTCCAGCAACATGTTGTTGACCATCAGGAAGTCCTCTCCGTAACACAGGATGCTAAATGTCGGAGCTGCAACGCAAACGCACCTTACACACATGTCTGAGATCGAATAAAAGGGGTTCATACCCATTCTGAAAGGAAACAAACATGTGGTCCACCCGAATAATTATAAATCAGTTTGACCAGTTACCGGAAGGAAATACATTTTCAATCTCACTTGTTGGGTTTGTTTTTTTGCCTGCATTTGAAAGAATCAATGAACCATCAGTTAGTAAAGTGTTTTTGTACCTCCAGAGCACAGCGGCAGCAGCAGCAGCAGCAGCAGGTAAACCCTCATCTCTCTCAGTCAGTGTGACTCGACAAGCAGCAAGAAATAAGAGATGACAGCGAGTAGCTGGACCTTTATCCTCTGCTGACACACACACACACACACACACACACACACACACACACACACACACACACACACACACACACACACACACACACACACACACACACACACACACACACACACACACACACACACACACACACACACACACACACACACACATAAACTAAAATATTGATCTGAACACAAACTGAACTGTTTGTCCAAAATGTGTTCAGTGCAAAGTCCTAGAAAAGAAAAACTGTGTCGATTGAAGCTAAGGGTCAGCCAGTGTTTCTGCTGAGTCATGACTTGAGTTACAAAAAGACACCTGTGTGCTGTGGAAGAACTTCAGGTGAATTTGGACCATGCGAGGGTTAGGGTTACATGCTGTAGTGTCTTTGTTTGTGTGTGTCTTCCCCCCTCTCCTTCTGCAGCTCCCTCAGGCATTCAGGGACACTAAGGTTTGTTTGTTTGTTTATTTATTTAAAGGACAGTGCACATTAATCCACATTGCTGTAAATGAGCCAGTATTAGCCAGCAGGCTAATTTTCAACTGTTGTCCTTGGCAAGATGTTAAAGGTCCAAAAGGTTAAACCTCGTATTATCATCAAGAGAGACATAAAACATTTTGTGGAGCAGGGTTTTGTGCATGATCTGTTTGATTTTGATTGGGGTAAAATCGATCTGTGTGCTGATGTGGAAACCGCATGGTCTTATTTTTATCTTGGTTTTATGGAGATCATTGATAGACATGCACCCCTGCGTACATTTAGAGTAAAGGGACGAGACAATCCTTGGTTTTCTGCTGAGCTGTCCAGTCTCCTTCATGAGAGAAACAAGGCCTGGGCAAAGGCTAGGAGATCAGGCTCAGAGGTAGAGTGGCTGCGTTTTAGGCAGCTAAGGAATAGCTTCACTTCACATGTCAAAAGTGCTAAATCAAAGTAATATTTGTCAGTTTCCACAAAGAATCTGAATAATCCTGGAACATTTTGGAAAGCCATAACATCGTTATCCACCGGTGATATCCGTAATGAGCTACCTCCGTGCCTTACCACAGCATCTGGCTCTATATCGGACAGGGCCACTATGTTAAATTGTTTTAATGAGCATTTTGTGTCCTGTGGTTCTCTGTTTCATTCTGTGACTAACTCTGCTTCTGTGAACACCACAGTCGGTGACTCTGAACAATGTGGTCTGGAAAACCCTTTCAGTTGTACTCCTTTTACTGTTGATGTTGTTCATGAAGCCTTATCTAAGCTAGATCCTAAGAAACCGGCTGGCCCGGACAACGTAGAACCTTTCTTTTTAAAGATAGCTGCAGATTTCATTGCTCCACCTCTCACTACTCTTTTTAACCTCTCCATCAGCACGAACACAATTCCAAAAGTATGGAAGTCAGCGTATGTCCTGCCTTTGCTGAAAGGAGGGGAGGCCACCTTATTAAATAACTATAGGCCAATCTCTAAGTTGTCAGTTCTGGCTAAGGTTCTTGAACGATTAGTGAGTGAACAGGTAAAGGTGTTTTTATGTAAAAATGACATCCTGTCTAAACATCAGTCAGGCTTCAGAAAGCAACACAGCACCATCACTGCCACAATGAAAGTGGTGAATGATATTACGAGTATTTTAGACAATAAGCAGAGTTGTGCAGCTCTATTTGTTGACCTATCCAAAGCTTTTGATACTGTCGATCATCGCATTTTGAAGCAAAGGCTGGTCAGTATAGGCATGTCCAGCCATGCAGTGGGTGGTTTGTGAACTACCTCTCTGAAAGGTCCCAATGTGTTCAGTTTGATGGGCTGTCTTCTGAGTGGTTAAACATCACTAATGGTGTACCACAAGGTTCAGTTTTAGGTCCGCTATTATTCTCTATCTATATTAATAGTTTAGGTGAAAATGTCGAAGGAGCAACCTTACATTTTTATGCGGACGATACCGTTATATACTGTGCAGGTCCCTCGATTAACGAGGCTGTTGTTAAATTACAGGCTGTTTTTAACATTATTCAGGCTCAGCTCTCTGAACTTAAGCTTCTTTTAAATGTGGATAAAACCAAGGTAATGCTCTTTTCGAAAGCTAAAGCTAAAAATACACCAGAGACTGCTTTGGATATTGTAACTACGCAATGAATACAACTTGAAGTGGTTACCTGTTACAAATACTTGGGTATTTGGCTTGATGACTGTCTCACTTTTAACCAGTTAAGCCCGAAGGTCCCCCCAGTGGACCCCTCCCACAGTTTTTGTTTTCTCACATGTCTCAGGGCTTCTTAACATTTATGAAACTATTAATGTTTCATACCCTTTTAAAGGTAAGAAACTCCGCTAACTGACAATAAGAACAATTGTTAGCTAAAAAAAACACAAGAGTAATACCAAGCCTTTGAATTAGCATTGAGCGAAACAATGCTAACTAATGCTAACGCTTTTTTACACACAACACACGGTAGAAATGCCCTTATTACTATCTTAACTGCACAAACAAGATATACGATTTAAAGCTGAGACTCCACAGATTCCACACATGTAATGTCATCACTGTCCGACCTCGAATTCCTGGAGCTATCAGCCAGAAAAGAGAAAGTAAACAACATCCGGTTCCAAAAATATTACAATAATTACGTCTTACCTTTTTTGATTTGTGATCAAAAGTTGTGTTCAACGGAATAAAAACGCATCTCAAGGTTAATCCAATGTCTTTGTGTCACGTAGAATTTTTAACTGATAATCAATCATCATATTTATGGCAATATACTCGGTATAAAGTATTGCCGTCCAGGCTTGCACTTTCAGATATGCTTTGTTTGCTTCTCTATTACGTCGGCTATGGTAATGTTTACGTGGATTTGGGAACTGCCCATCGATTGTATTGGTTCTGATGGTTAAGAAAAAGGTGTCAATCACACGAATCGACCAATGGGTTCCAGAGATATGGTCCTGCGCAAATTATAAAGAATGCCAGCCAGCGTAACAACATTACGCAGCCCACTTCATTTATTGTTTACAGCGTAAAGAAGCAGGAAATGCAGCAGGACCCAGAGCGCACGGAGCACAGAGCGGACAGCAGATAACGGAATTGCAGTTTTATTGCTTATAGATTATCAGAACATTTCAAAGGGGACACAGCCCCATTGGATATTAATCTATGGATTAACTACATCATCGTTTTTATCGTTTGAATGCCATTGAAGACCAGTTTAGACCAGACAACGAGGAAGGTAAGTCATTGTTAGCCTAGTGCATTAGCGCTAGCGCCATTTGTTTTGATGTACGTTTTTGTTGATAACGTTGCGAGTTTGTATCTTTCAGTGTTGGGCTGTTCAGGTGGGCACCGTTAGATTCTGTGTCTCCTTGCGATCATAAACAATGTGTTGGATGTGCAGCTAGGATAAGTAATAAGGGAGCGAGGAGTGATTTTCGGTGCTGTAATAGGTTAGCATTTTTCGCTCGGGGCTAATTCAGAGGCTCACTGTAAGAGTAAGCCTATGTTTTATTTATTTTTATTTATTTTTTCACAACAGTTGTATTTGGATGGAATGAATACCTATAGTGATAATTCAAAGTAATAAAATGATTTTTACAGTGAAAAAGTTCAAATGGAACCGATGGTTCCCAAATTACCCAGAGGTGAGTCCGCTTAGACTTTATTTGTCTAAATCTCTCTAAAAAGGTCAAATTTCACTTGTTTTGCATCAATCTTGATACAGGGTACTTATTATATGTTATAGTTTGGATTCCTAAAGCTTTTAGTCTACTAACCCATCATGCAAGGGTGGTTTTCACGATAAGTAAAGGTTTTTTTTTAGGTGGACATTAGAATTTACATGTTTTTACTATGTTCCATCTGAATTTACTTTAAAATAAAAACATCTATATTGATTCTGACACTTCTACATCCAACTCACAGATGTAACCTTGCTTTGAGAAAAATTATTATTAATTTACCCCTTTTTAGAAGTGAAGATATATCATTTGTTGTGTTAGTGGCATTTTCGAGCCTGAAACCTGAAAAACAGGCTCAGGGCTTAACTGGTTAAACTTCATGTCAATAACCTGCTTAAAAAGCTGAGGGTTAGGCTAGGTTTCTTTTACAGAAATAAGTCCTGTTTCTCGCTTGAGGCCAGGAAAAGGCTAGTCACTCTGACCTCACTCATAGAGGCAACTTCTACAGCTCAGATTCCTGCTACGCCACCTGATGCCAATCCTGCTGCTAATCAGGCCGAGGTCAGTTTCTCTCCTGTCCCACTGCGGTTGGCATCGCCAGAGAAATATTCATGTGAATCTGGCAACTGCAGAACCTTCCTAGTCCAGTGTGACCTGCATTACAAACTTAACCCAGCCGCGTTTGTGTCAGATGAGGCTAAAATAGCATTTATGGTCTCCCATTTAACCGGCAGAGCTGCCGCATGGGCCACTGCGGAGTGGTCAAGAGACTCCAGTATATGTGGATCTTTCACAGCATTCAAAGACACTATGAGCAGGATTTTTGATCTTACCTCACCTGCCGGTGACGCCACCCGTGTACTCATGCAGCTCAAACAGCACCCACGGCCAGTATTAGATTATGCCATAGAGTTCTGTACCATAGCCATAGACAGTGGCTGGAACACCCCAGCATTAATAGACGCCTTCCGGAATGGACTCTCTGAAACCATCAAAGACCACCTGGCTCCACTAGAACTACCACAAGACCTTGAATCTCTGATTTCCATGTCTATCCGAGTTGATAACCGCCTCAGAGAAAGAGAGAGAGAACGGCGCTGAACTGCAACAAGACATCCAAGCCACCAGGGGCGCTCTTTGGATAAGCAGCCTTCATGGGATCCCCTGTTTCACTCTTCATCAGGCCCGGCAGGAACAGCGCCATCACAGGCACCAGAGGAGCCAATGCAGCTCGGGAGAACAAGGATTTCTCCAGAGGAAAGACGGCGCCGCCTGCAGGAGGGATGCTGCTTTTACTGTGGCCAATCGGGTCACCAGCAGGCGACATGCCCGGGAAAAGGGCATGCTCACCAACCATGAGGAGGGCATTGGTGAGCAAGATTTCCT